CTATAAAGAGCACCTTTGGGTAATTAAACGAGAAATACCTGCCGCGTTCTCTTTTTGCCACGCGCGTCCGGCTAATGGGTTTCCATGGAAGCGTAATTGTATCGAAAGTTCGAAACCGCGTCACTCTTACGCGAACACCGCGTTTTTGATGCTATATTTAGACACTGATTATATCTGCATAGTGGATGTTTGTGTAAATATACCTTTCGCGAGAAATGGGTAAAATGCGAACTGGACAGAAATTATAGGTTTTCTCCATATTTTGTGTAAGTGTATATTTCAGCATGAATACTCGTTAGAGATGTTAAAATATGTGTATGCATTGTTTACTACTATACAGTGTGAAATATGTGGTCAGTATTTTACGTCTTTTTTTGTAATTGTATATTTTATGGTGAGCCCGAATATAGAGATTTTTGTTTCGTTACACGAAGGTTCCAAAAATTTAGTTGTTGTTTTACAGATTTTATTTATGTTCTTTCTTTTTGGATGAATATATAATTTGTTGAAAACAGGGGCGGGGGTGTATATCCGGTGACGTTAAAAATTTCGAAGTAGAGAATAATACAATGTGAAATATATGTGATCGATATTTTATTTCTGTCAGTGAGATATGCCGCTTTTTGTAATTGTATATTTATAAGTTATGAATAGATAGAGACTGTTTATGCAAATAGGATATATTTTTATAGGAGAAAAATAAAATGGAACTCGGACAGACATTTATTCCGTCATTAAAAAATTCTGAAAATTATAGCTTTTATTTTGCATTCATTTCGCATATTCAGTAACTTTTATCATATTTTAACAGAAAAAAGTTATATATTCTAATTTTTATGTTCTTTAAGCTGTACCCAAATTTGAGGTGTTCGATTTTAAGATAGCTAACCTATAATTAATAATATACCTATGTAAAACTTAACTATCTCCGATAGAAAAATTTTAGAATCCCTAAAAATATTTATACCCCCAAATTTTTCAAAATCTAATATTATACAATTTCAATTCCAAAAATATGATATTTTACGATATGCGATATATTAAACAGTATGTTCTATGCTATATAACATTACCTAAATTAATAAAATCGTGCATTCAGGAGCATTCCAAACAGATTCGGTTTCACCTCGAAACTCCAATTTTATTTTTCCCTAGCTCAATCGAAGCGCGTCAAAACGCAGGATTAACGAGTTCCAATCCGCGCCCTCTACAGAGCGAGAAGCGTGACGTTAAGATAGCGATTAAAATTCTTTGATTACCGGCAGAGTCGATTCGTAAACACATAATCTGCACGGCGTAAAGGTGTTTTCAAAAGAGCGTGAAGGCTCGGTAGCACGGCCCTTAAGTCCTCTCGTTATGAGGAAATGCGATAACGAGTCCCCGAATGGGACCTGATCGATTTATTGGCGTTCAAAGCCTGCCTCTGGCTTTACACGTCAGACGACACTATCCCAGGGAGAAGTATTACGGGAGCGTGCATTCTCCCTCGAAAATTACGTCTCGTTAATCGATTGCGTCTTAATTCCCGTAATTATCGAACGCTGAAGCACCATCGGTCAACCTTCGTTCCAGAGAGAGTGATTGTTAAATCTTCGCGGAGATGTAGTTACGACGCGTAATTACCGGCCGTTTCCAGGCTCCGCGTTCGATCCACTCGTACCACAGCCGCAACCGCGTTTTCTGCGCCCAGCTGCTTGATACACTGTGAAATTGATTACCGTTTTCTATGCCCTGCCGAACCTTCGTTCTAGTTACGTCACTTGTTCGCGTCCCTGTTACATCTTGCTTTTTTATGCCCCGTTCCTATTCAATAATTACGCTGGACGAAGGGTATTTGTTCTCCACGTTCTGCTTTGTCCGTTCTAAGCTCCAACAGAAATTCGTCGATATATCAATCATCCTGAATTTTTTCTCTTTTGCCTTTTTTTTTCCTTTTTATTTTTCCGTTGGATTCTATTGGTATCGGAGATGCGAAAGCAACTACTTTTTATCGGTATTGTTAAGGGATACTTGATATACCAGATTTACGACACGGAATTTCGTATTTTATTATTTTACAATTCTATGGGACACGAGATTTTAACAGTCTGCCGGCGAAAGTGGGTCAATTTTGAACAGTATTGTTATTTCTTGCTTCCATGTCCGGTCGAGCTTTGGAATATTTCTATTTCCCCAATTTTTGTTACAATTTTATAAATTTTACCGCGACGTTGTTGTTCTAGAATATTATTTAATACTGTTTCGTCGCTTACGTATTCCCCACACGAACAAATGTTTCTAGTTACACAAAAATTGTTATTCTGACTCGGTTCACGATACCACGTCAAACTTCGGCACAATTTGTATTACTTCGAACTAAGAGAATCTATATGATCGCTCTCCCTTGAGAATCTCGTCGACAGAAGCAAGGGACCACACTGAAACGTATCGGAATTGAAAGTGAAAGCCTCGCAGCGATCGGCGATGGCAGCGCCACCACGTTGTCGCGTGAACAGTTATTCGTCAGTTTCTCGAGTAACGTTACACTATCCACAACGTTGAGTGGATCGAGAGGTTAGTTACAGTTTGCTTCTCCATGAGAACGAGTATAGAATATAGAACATAATCGAACCCTACTTCTCACGATTTTCGACTGAATAAATTTATCGACAATTATTAATCAATAATAAGATAGTTAATTGACTATCAATAATTCGCTCTCCTTCGATAAAATGAATACAATTGTTCCTCAGATTCAACGCCTTTAGTACGTAACAATTTATTTTAAAGTAGACAGTGCAACCACTACGAGGAATTCTGGTCGCGTTACAAATAAATTCCACCAGCAACAGGATAAAGTTCCAAAACATCATCTTCACGGAGAAGATTTTCTCTGTCGAGAAGTTTCGCGCTACGATATACGACGCGGCGAGTTCGCGCACGGTCGCAATGGTAATCGCGATGGGCTGATTCGAACAATTCGAACGACAGTATTACGTTCAGCCGAGAGAGAGAAAGGGAGAGAGAAAGGGGCGGGGGGAGAGTGAGAGAGAACCGCGTGAAGTTTGAACGTGAGTTAGGGCTCGTCTTAAAAATGTTCCCGCGAGCGCGCCGAGAAGTTCGAAACGTGACGAGAAATCACGACCACTTTCGTGCCATCGATCACCAGCTCGAAAATAGTTACGCGCTATTCCGCGACCAGGGATTTCGCGATAAAGTAAATCGTGCTCCCGGATAGACCAATTTCAGCGTCAACGCGACCAGCTTTCGTATTACGGCTCACGTTTCACGCTCGTTTTTATCTTTTGATTTATCTGCCCGATATCGACCCTTCTAATCAATTACTATTAAAACCAATTGCCGAGGGCAACGTGGTAGAAATCACGCGGTATTTATCGAGCACTGGAACGCGGAAAATATGACAGGCACGAGGCGACTGAAATTAACTCTTAATCCTCTGACCCAGTGAATATACATATATGTATAATTATATGACGTAATTGACTAGGGGGCACAAAAGTAGAAATGTTTCAACTGCTGAAC